CGGGCACATACGCACGGACACGGCGTCAACCAACGCACAATTTTTCTACCCGGATCCAGAGTTCATCCGGACTGACCGGGAAAAGGCCGAACTAGGGTTCTCTACTCAATCAGCTATCTATCTCGGTTCAAGTCGAAACTCAAACTCTAAGTTCAACGTGATTTGTAGTGATTTTAGGCCCAACAACTGCAGCTAATTCTCAACCGGCATAATATCACTATTTTTAATAAAAGCAGCTAAAGCCCCAAATTATTAGGCATACCAAACAGTCTCCAAAATTTACAAAATTTTAAACATAACACATTTAACATTTATAAGATTTATCCTTAATGTTTCAACGCATTTCGAGGCCTTTAGCATTTTTATCCAAAAATCGAGCATTTCGACTACATATTAACAAATCCGGTTAAAATAGTAAACGGGCATAAAAAATCACAAAACTTAACATATTATCTACTTAACATGTATAAAGTCCAAGGTCAAACCCTCAAGTCTCAAGTCAACACCTATCACATTCAACTCAAATTCACTACGACCGGCAATTTTACTCGAACCAATCGTTCGCCTATCAAACGGACACCAAAAATTAATTCGATTACATCTTAAGCCTCAAGTCAACGGGGAGAATTTTATCATATTTATTTTGGCATTTTAATGCGTTTATCGGAAGCTTTGGGAGGATAGGATTTCAGGAAACTATTGTCTGGGAAATCTTAGATAACTAGAAGGGTTCGTTGGCGACGCGTATAAAAAAACGACACCCAATTCCAAGTTCGGACAAGCTCAAACGAGCCCAAAATGAAAAGTCGCGCGAAGCACATTTTTGGTGTGTAGGACAGAAGCTTTAGGAGAATAGGATTTTAGGAAAATATTAGTTGGGACATCATAATTAACTAGAAGGGTTCGTTGGCGACACGTAGGAAAAAACGACATTTAATTTCGAGTTCGGACGAGTTCAAACGAAGTCGAAACGCAATGCCGCACAGCCCAATCCTTAGCGGCGCTAAGCTGGCCTAGCGACCCCTTAACGACCCCAGAGGCCACTGCCTAGGCGGCCTTAGTGGCGCTAACCCCTGCACACTAGATTTTTATAAACCTCGATTTTGCTCGATTTTTTAAGGACTTTTGGTGGGGGACTCGATTCCAACTCTAGGAAGACTCCCCAAACTCATTTTTTCCAGTTTTTACCTCAAACACTTGAATCTTCATCTTGGATCTTGGTTTTCATCTTCATTTCACGCTTGTTTTTGGATTAAGCTTGTATCTTGGATTCGACTTTTATTCTCGTTTTAATCGTAAGTTCTTCTATTCATTTAATTGATGAGTGAAATTGCTTGGAGTAATATGTTTGATTGTGTTGAACTTAATATACATAGCTAATTCGATTTCTATAAATAGAGGATAATTTTTCTTGTTCTTTCGTATTTGTCGGACTTTGATTTGTACATTCTCGTGCGAGTTGATTTGAAAAGGATTGTTAATTTCTTGCTTGAAAGTTGAATATAATTGAAGAGTGACACTTCAATCTTGCAATTGGGCCCGATTGGATATTTATCTTTTGAGTTTGGGTTTTTTTTTATTATTTTAAAACGATTAGTTGATTAATCATCTTCTAGTTTAATTAAATAACTTTTAAAACCGAAAGGGGAGAAGTTGTAGACATAGGCTCGCATGAGTTAG